AACAGTGATGGGGTATAGTAGAGGCTCCACAAATATTTACTGGGTCTTATAAATGAATGCATGGATGAATACATGCTTTTTTTCCATCTTAAAAAATCAAATTTCCTTACTTGTCAAACAGAGAAAACAAGTTTGAAATTGAATGGGGACCCATAATATGAAAGGGCCAGTAGGAAGGGAAAGTAGGGCCACCTAGCATACTGTTTTCCAAGTGGTTTTTCGAATGTTCAGAAGACAGAGGTGAAGGTCTGCTGCAGACACATACCTAGGGTCCAAAGTTCATGGTCCTATGGAAAGGGGCCCAAGTTTGCTGGGTATTGGCTATGGAGAGGAGTGCCAGGGGTGAGTTTAGCTAGGGGCCTATGTCTCTGAGGGTTGGTGTTCATTGCACCCAGCTATACGCTGGGGAAATCAGAAATCAATAGAAGGTGTTCCTTATCCTGAAGATGCCCACAGTCAACCTATCTTTGGGAATTAGGCAAAACTAGAGCTCAATTTGAGCTCTGTCACCACTGAGTTATGTTCTTAGACAAGTCACACAAATTCTGTAAACTTGACTTTGCACCTATATAAAACAGCAATAAAATCAGCACATGGCTTCAGGGAACATGCATTTTATAAACATCCTTTCCCTTCTACCTCTTTTTATAATTTTTTTTATTTTTTATTTCTCATTATAATTACAGAGTAAAATTTTATTAAACCAATGATAGAACAAGCATCATTAAAGCCTAAGTTCTTATTAGTACATGTTTGCAGTATATAACAACTATATTTATCATGGGGAGTTAGTACATGTACATAACATATCTTAATTCTTTTTTGCTCCCTTCCTCTCCCATCCCTTCCCTACAATTCTTGTTTTCCTTCACAGTTGAAAATGATCTCCTTACTTTCTATTATCAATCTTTTATTTTGTTTTTTATTTATGTTTTTGGTTTCTAACACAAATCAAGCAAGATTTAAACTTGTGTGTCTGGTTTATTTCACTTAACATACTCCAGGAAGAATGGTTATCATGAAAAAATCATTAACAAATGCTGGTGAGCCTGTGGGAAAAATGGAACCCTTCTACATTTTTGGTAAATGTAAACTAGTACAACCACTATGGCAATCAGTATGAGATTACTCAAAAAGAAACTAAAAACAATAATCCCATTCACCCCAACTATCTCCCCTTCTAGGGAGAAATCAAATCCTGCTGCATTAGGTGCCTAGGTGAAAGTATTCAGAATCCAGCCTGTCTCCATTTCCTGATCAGTTCAAGCACTTCTCCTCTTCCCAAAAGAATTAGTCATCCTATTACAATGATATATGTATACCCGTTTATAGCAGGACAATTTATAATGCCTAAATCTTAGAAACAACCTATAAGCCCATCAGTGGATGGATAAAGAAAATGTGGTATTTATACACAATGAGTACTATTCTGCCATAAAGGATAAACTTTAGGCATTTATAGATAAACTGCTGCACCTTAAGACCATGAGAAAAGAGATTAGGGCATGGTAAACTGGCAGGACAATGGGGTTTGATCTGTCAGTCATGGACACCTGTCAAATCACGGTGGGGATACATGTACGGAGCAGTTTCCAAGCCCTGCATGGGAAGGCCCAACTCTGACGTCAAATGAAAGATGGCTGCCATTGTCCTCGCTGTCACTGTCCCCTTGTGCTTGTAGAGGCCTGTCCCGCAGGCAGGGCCTATCTTCTTTTCTCTTCAGAGCACTTCTTCCTCTTGAGCTCTTCTTTTTTGCACTCCTTTTTCGCTTTTTTCCCTACTTTTCTTCTTTTACCTTAAATAAACAAACTTTTAGGTTCATTAGTTGTCCCATCCAGTTCTTTAAGTGGGACAAGAGCATAGAGGGTCTGCTGGGCACCTCATTGCGTGGTGACATTTTTGGTGAGCTGATCCAGAAGGTGAAGGCCAACGACAGGTACCAGGGGCGGAAGGGGCGCGGTCAGCAGTGAACCCCACGAAGCCCCTGGACTAGGTCCGCGCCCCACGGAGGGCTGGGAAAGGCGCCCTTGGCCGGTCAGGGGTGCCCACGGCGCGCTGAAGAGGGGCGCGGGGGACGAAGAGCTCTGCGAGGCCCGGGCCGACACCCCGCCCTCTGCAGGCCGCCCAGGGC